GCCAGCTTGGCTGTCTCAGGAATTCTGGGACTTGAAGTCCACAGGTTGTAAAAGGGCCACAGTTGCCCACCCCTGCCTTACAGGTATATCGGAAGACTGCAACTCCCAGAATTCCAGTTGGCTCCAAATTCTGAGATTGGTCTACCCGGTTATGCCTAAAGAAACCGAGCAAACATTTTTTTTTCTTTCCAGCATTAGTATCAGTATTTTCTCAGAGTTCTGGGTTTCATTTTTCTTTTCTATGTGAACATTTTTACACCTCCTCACCTGACAAGCTGCATTTCTTTGGTGGAAATATTAACAATTTAATTGAAGGCAGCCTCTAATTTGCAATATTCAGAGCCAGGCTTATTAACTTTTTTTTTTTGGAGACGTTGGCATTCATGAATGATTCCAGTTTATTAAAACTGAACCATCTGTCCAGACCTTTTCCTTTTCCTTTTCCTTTTCCTTTTCCTTTTCCTTTTCTTCTTCTTCTTCTTCTTCTTCTTCTTCTTCTTCTTCCTCCTCCTCCTCCTCCTCCTCCTCCTCCTCCTCCTCCTCCTCCTCCTCCTCCTCCTCCTCCTCCTCCTCCTCCTCCTCCTCCTCCTCCTCCTCCCTCCTCCTCTTCTTCTTCTTCTTCTTCTTCTTCTTCTTTCTTCTTCTTCTTCTTCTTCTTCTTCTTCTTCTTCTTCCCCTTCCCCTTCCCCTTCCCCTTCCCCTTCTCCTTCTCCTTCTTCTCTTCTTCCTTCTTCTTCTTCTTCTGCCAAACCAGGTGTTTTGAGACCTGATTTGTACCTTTACAGAACTGAATTGATTGGAACGTGAAATGGAGGGGGGATTGTATGGAGCATGCGGTGATATGTAGTCATAATAACATTCCTTTCTCAGAGAGTCAAGGACATCTTGCCCTGCACCTGGAAGGGTGTGACTGGGAGGCATCTCCAGTTGGGATGGTGCTTTGATTGGACCTTGTGATGGACATGTGAGTGTTGGGCAGGGACTTGGACTTTCCTTTGGGTGGGGAAAATCTGGAAGCTTTCCGATTCAGGTTTTCCCAGATGTGCCAATTTGACATCTCTAATAAAATGGAACTTTGAGGAAACTCAAGCCTCTGAGTTTTCTTTCGTTGGGCGTGTTACTTGGAACCCTGACTAACTCAAATTTGAAAGCTTCCAGGTTTTCCCCACCCAAAAGAAAGTTCAAGTCCCTGCCCCACGCCCACAAGTCCATCACATGGTCCAATCACACATCGTCCCAACTGGAGATGCCTTTACCTTACTTTTCCAAAACTAAACAGTCCCCCTTTTGTTCCAGAGATGACGATGGGGCCTGAAGAGGAGAAGGCTGCTAGTCCTTCAGAAGCTAACAAAGAAATCGGTCACACTTCTGAAGCATCTAAAGCTGCAGAAAACATCTCAGCACCTCCCTGTTCTTCATCCGAACAGCCGGGATGCAGAGAAGCCACGGACAGTCCAGCTCGAAAACAGCCGAAGAGCCGCGTGAAATTGGCAGCCAACTTCTCATTTGCACCCGTAACCAAGCTTTAAATCTCGTCCCGGTGTGAAAAGCATTCGTATCGTTAAGGACTGCACAAGGAAATAAAGTCGGCTATAATTTTTTTTTTTCTTAATTTTTAATCACTGTCTGGAGGGGGTGTAGCCACCGACCTGTTTTTCTTTTGTCACTGTGACTGCCTTCTGTGCAAATACGTTGCACGTTCTCAACCGAAGTTAAGCTGGGCAGGGTTTGGGTTTTTTTTTTTTATTATGATGATGATTATTGTTATTGGAACTTCAGATATTTGTTAAGAGCGATCTAACATTTTACCCTTTTTTTATTCTGTCCCATGTCGACAAAAGCAGATGCGTGCGAGCACCCTTGGCAGAGAACGGATTTTTTTAAGTTTCCGATACCCGAAAGGGGGATGTCAAATCTACACACGTCACGCCTAAATATCTCGGCGGTTTCTATTTTTGTGATGTTGTGATCGGGAAAATAACAATGCAGTGCATCATTTGTCATGCAATATGGACTCCCGAGAGGATTCTTTTAAAAACGGTCACTTAGATGGGGGTTTGGGGGGGGGGGGGTTGTCTTTAAGCTTTGTAAGGGCAAAACTTGGGAATTGTTTTTTTTTTTTTCCGATGACTTGTAATTAACTATTCTAATCGTTGGAGACCCTGATCATAACCCCGATCATTGGAGAAGTCGGTCGATTTGGTACAAAGCCCCCCCCTTTTTTAAAAAAAAAGGCCTTCTGTGATAATTCAGTTCCATCAAGGAAACTTGTAGGTTTTAAGCTTCCCTTTTATAAGCACCGCCGGTAGATGCCGATTTGAGATGAAGTCAAGGGGGGAGGGTGGGGTACCATCTCGGTTGCCGTGCATTTTGAAGGCACCTTGAGAAACCGGGTTGCAGCCGCTCCCTCGAGGTGTCCGGGGGGGGACACACGGGACTGTTGAGATTTCAAGAATATAAAATATGCATCGAGATGCATAAATCATGGAATCGCGCAAGGCGACGGGAAGTTGTTTTTTTTTTAAGGCAGAAAAAAGGCGCTGATGCTTCCGCAGATGATGCTTCCGGGAGCAGGAGGTTAGAAAGGCCAAGGTCAGTGACCTAACCTGACCTTGCAAAACTTTTTTAAACGTGTAATTAAATGGGAAGCTTAGTAGTATGAATCGAGAAAGCGGGGGGGGTTTTTTAACGGTGTCTGGTTTTTATTCCTCCTAGTGCTGAAAAGCTGCTCTTGCGTGTGTGTGTCGTCACTTTTTTTTTTTGCTTCCAGTTCTTATTGGGGTATTTTTTTCATGTGTGTGTGTGGTAGTGATTGTTGTGGTTGTTGGCTTTTAGACGGGCCAGCCTTTACAGAAGAGGTTGAGTCGGTGGGATCCTTTTGTCTTCCTTTTAGAGAGAGAGAGAGACAGAAAGACATTAAAAACGTCTTCCAAAGGTTTATTATATACCCCTTGCCCGGGTAAACTTGGCACTTACAATGGGTTGTATTTGCCAGAAGAGAAATTTTTTTTACTGCTTGTCGAAAAGGAAAACAACCTATTTCCCAAGGTTTCCACTGGCCAAACGCGGAAAAATATATATATTTTGTAACAATTATATTTTATAAACGGACAAGGTTGGGAAAAAAAAAACGGCTGGGGAATTTCACAGCCAGCAACTGAAGGGGGGGAAAAAATACCACCAAATGGCTATAGATACTTTTTTTAAAAAAAAAAACCAAAAACAAAATAATGGATTTTGTTTAAAAGAGGAGTTTTAAGCAAAGCCACACATTGAACTTTTCTGAATTATATAGCCATTACGAACGCAAGGAAACACTGGAAGTATTTTTTTCTTTTTTACTGAAATTGAGACACGGCACAGTTTCTCTAGAGACCTAGAGTTTATAGGAACAGATCGTTTGATATATATTTTTTTCCTTTCTCTCTAGTGTTTCGAGTATTTATGAGACCATCTCTCAGTAGCTTTAGGTATAACCTGCATAAAACAGAAGGCCTCGTCACTCAATTGTGGGTCGTGCTTTAACAGAACCGATTGCTGTTCTAAGCAAGTCATCTTAAAAAAAAAAAGAATGTGAGACCCAAGTTTTTTTGGGGGGGAGAAAAAATAAAGAAATCAAAAGTCCAGTAGTATTCTGTATTCAAAATACAGATGTGGCCAGGTGATCCGTAAAGAAAAATCCCATCGTACATGAATCCATGTGGCATTCTGAACTAAATTGCTCTTCGAAAGTTAACACGGTGCCGTTTCAGATAAATTTGAGGGATTTTTTTTGTTGTTATTGTTGTTGTTTCTCCCGTAGCACAAGATTATTTAATGAAGGTTTTTTTTTTTTTTTAAAGAGAAAAAAAAGGCTTGAAAAAAATAATGTAACTTGACTGATTTGAAACATGAATGAAGGTGATGAAATTCTTTAACTTACACTTTGGACATTTTGATTTCTTTAACTGTTCTGAAACGAAACAGATCAAGGCAACTATGCACTCTGGGGTGGGTGAAGAGCGACAATACGGCATATAAACTTGTCTCATTTGTTCGGGCACTTTTGTGGGTCAAGTGGTATTTTGTGCGTTTGGGACCAAGCAGTTGTCAATAAAAATTTCAAGCAAGCAAATGACTTTCTCTGTCCGTTTTTTTCCCCCCAGTAAATATACCATACAGGTAGTCCTCAACTTACAACAGTTCCTTTAGCGACCATTTGAAATGACGACACTGGGAAAAAAGTGAGTTATGACTATTTTTCACATTCATGACCATTGCAGCATCCTCATGGTCACGTGACCAAGATTTGGATGCTTGGCAATGGGTACATATTTATGACGGTAGCGTCCCCAGATCATGTGATCCCCTTTTGCGACCTTAACACAACTTATAAATGTTCCACGCACAAGAGTGATTGTTGTGGCCTGTCGGCTGCCAGCCCCTCCAGCTGCCGAATCAGGAGGAGGAGGAGGCGTGGGAGTCGGGGTCAGCATCAAGGCAACCTGAGAGCTCCGAGGAGGAAGAGGGAGTGGAGCTGGCATAGAGAGAGACAGAGGCAGAGCCTGGGCCACCCCATCAGCCCTCAGATGAAGAGTCAACAGCCCCCAGGCCTGGAGGTGGCTGATGAGGAAGAGGAGGAACAGCTGGGTCCAGTGCCTGACTTGTGGATGCGAAGAAGGCAGAGGAGAGGAGAGCAATGGAAATCTATGGGCCGGTCCTCGGGACGGAAGAGCCACCGCTGCTAGTGAAGCCCCACTTTAGCTCTGGGGATAAAAGGCAGGGGGGCGGAGTTGAATAGATGGGGCAGACAACTATTCATCTCCCTGCTGGACAGACTTGTTAGCCTGCGTTGAGAGAGAAACTTTTTGCCGGAACTGCTGGCGCTCCTAATTAAAGGAATCATTGAGTTAATTTCAGAGGGTTTGTCGTGTTTGGAGAAGTGGGTCAGAGCAGCAATCCTGGGGGGTCGGGATAAGAAGACACCGCAAACCACAATAGAACAGAGTTTCAGCTTCTGGTAAGCTTATTAGCTATTCTATTTAGCGTTTTTATTAACACATACGTCATTGCGAAAAGGACCCCACCCAGCCATCCGGAAGACGTTTGCCTCCGTTCGCCCACCAATCAAATACTGCCTGTGAAAGGAAGAAGGTGTGGGGTGTATCCAGTGCTCGACAGACCATTGAAACTGCTACGTGTTACTTCTACTTCAGAGCTGGCGTTAGGCTAAGAATCGATTCCTACTCCTATGCGGAATTTACCTATCAGCCGGATTCGGACTATTGTTCACCATGCCGGATCAGATAACATTCACACAGCATGCTAAGCATAGCGTTCGCTTTGGCTTTTCTTCCTACCTTTTATGGAGATGACTTACCCATCCTTGTGCTAAGTCAAGAAACTTGAGTTGATCTGCCACCCAGATCAAGGCAGGGTGGACGCAGCTCTAGACATAACAAATGGCCCCTGATGTTACCCTCAAGTCATAAGCCATCCCCCCTCTCCATCTATGTCTACGCTTCACGGTTCTTCTCCCGTGTTCTGGTTATAGTTAATGTCTACTCCTCGTCTTAACCTAGGGCATGCTCGCTGAGGTCCATGCAACACCAAGGAGTCACCAAGAATAGCACAGTTCGGCACACAAGTTACTGTTAAGAAATACAACAGGAGATTCAACGATCAAGAATATCTGGGTGCTTGATGTCCTGATTCCTTCGCCCACCAGTTGTTGGTTGTTGGTTGTTTTTTCGGCCAACGGGGAAGTGGGTCGAGCGGAAGGCATTGCCTCGAGAGAGATGCTGGAGCTACATGATGGTGCACTGGGTCATCCCACAGCAATCCTTGATGAGAGCAGCGCCAGTTTTGGCAATGGTGGGCTTGTTGGGAGGAAGGGGTGGTGGAGGAGGAGGCTCAGCTTTCTTCTCTGTAGGTACCCCTGCCAAGGTCAGAAACGGAGAGCGTCATTCATTGCCGGGATCAGGTTTCTGAACCCTAACACTAACCCAAGAAAACCATCATAGATCAGTGGATGAATCCAGCTGTTGCTATGCATAAATAATGACTGAACAGATGGTAGGAATAGCACTAACAAAGAGCACTTAGACTTATATCAGCAGTGAAATCTGGCCGGATCAATCCGGTTCGTGCGAACCAGTAGAGCCGGCGGCGGGAGGCTTTGCCTACCCACTGGGATGTCTTTACGTCCCATTTTTGACCCTCTGCGCATGTGCAGAAGAGGTGTGCATATGCGTATTGTGCGCGCACTCGCGAGTGCTCCCGTTCCCGAACCAGTAGCGAAGGTAAGTGGATTTCACCGCTGACTTCTATAGTACCCCGTAGAGGTTTACAGGACTCTCTAGGCAGTTTACAATGTCTCTATATATATATCAGCTGTGAACTCTGCATTGACAACAGGAAGGGCATCCAGCCAGTAAACACTCAGCTCCATTCAGTTGCCCCGACTCCACCCCGATGCAAGGGATTACAGGGCCATTGGAAGACATAATCCCTTGCAACAGGGTGGAGTCGGGGCAACTGGATGGAGCTGGGGGTTTAACTGGCCGAATGCCCTTCCTGTCACCAAAGCAGGGTTCACAGCTGATGTTTACTCATTGTGCCCAGAGAGAGAAATATCTGCCGCTACCTAGGATCGAACTCACAACCTCCTAAGGCGAGAGCTCCAACTCTAGGCCACTGCACCACTCACAATGTCAGCACGTTGCTCCAAACAAACTGGGTCTTCATTGACCGCGGAAGGATGGAAGGAGTCAACCTTTGAATCCCATCAGGATCGAACTCCAGGTGGTGGGCAAAGTTTTCCTGCAATACTGCATGCTAACCGCCAGGGCTCTTGATGCAAATAAACTGACTTTTGAGTCACACACATTTTAAAAAAATATTTCCTTTTTTATGATCCTGTAGTCCCTGTTGGGGGTAGAGTCAGGGCAATTGGATGGAGCTGAGCATTTATTAGCCGGATGCCCTTCCTGATGCCTATGTGGAGTTCACAGCAGATAATTTTTTTTTTCTTTGAGTCCTAGGAGAGAAACATCTGCTGCTACCTAGAATTGAACTTCCAACCTTCCGAGTGGGAGGTGAGCTCTTCACCACTAGGCCAACACACCACTCTTAAAACACATTAATAAAATAAATCAACATAGCTGGATCAACATTCTTAAGAAAGTTAGTGCTCAAGCTCTACTTTGAGAGAAGCAGTAGGAGTCATCACAGAGGTGTACGTAAATGTAACATCTGGATCAGCAGCAGTTCTAAGGGCTGAGATTGAAACCACTTGAGTTATACGGTAAGCCATAATATGGTAAGCCATTGTTTGCTTCTGTGGTTTATGGAAATAACTATAATTGGCCACAAACCAGGGTTTATACTTTAAGCCTTATTGCTTGGCTTTCCACAATGTAAAAAGTCATAAGCAAGAAAACCACATTTTGGTTTATTTTTCTATATGAAAGAAACCTTTCTTTTGAATAATTTGGGGGAAAGGCATGCAAACTTACTGGTTGGAGACTGTACAATATTGTCCAAAGGTTTCAATTTAAGTCGTAGGAAATCAGCTATTTCCTTGTCTTCTTCTTTCTCTCTGTTTCAACGCAGAATAACATACTATTAGAAGTTTGATTTTGTTCTGCTTTATTTTATTTTTATTTTTTTTAATTGAATTGCACAACCATGAATTTGTGGGGAAAGGAATTGGAAAATTCTAGCCAACATCAAGAAAATTCTATCAAGAAAAGATTGATAAATTTTGTAACTTTTCTTGATAGAATTTTCTTGATGCTGGCTAGAATTTTCCAATTCCTTTGCCACAAGTTCACGGGTTATGCAATTCAATTTAGTAATAGCCACGTGTATGGAGTCAAGTTAGGAAAAGCTGGGGCAGCCATCCAAATGACCTTGAAAAATATTAATTAGGTTTGGACTGGTTTAGTACTTGGATTGACTGGAGCAGGATGTTTTGTAACAAGTCCCAGAAGAAAGTAATTGCCAGGGTTTTGACGGATACCCTAATTAAATCATGAGCCTCCAGCCAAGCTCCAAAAGAAATCCAGTTATTTATTAGGAGCTTCATATCAGCACGTTCCAAGTGACGCCAACTCTGACCCCATGTAATTTACGACCCAAACTTGACCATGTTTCCCACCTCCCCCCAGGGTGTGTCATGATTCACATTCGCCAACGGGTTGTAGAGATCACTCCCCTCTGGCTGCTGTGGGTAACCCTGGGAGACAGCCTTGAGAGAGATATGTCTGGAATGTGCTTTTGTTTTTGGCTGCTGTGCTGCTTCACCGGTTTCCCATGCCCCTGGCAGAACAGGTGTCAGTTTTGGAAGACAATTTTCTTTTTTGCTTCTTAACTGCCACATATTTTAGCTGGAGAAGTTGGGAGGGGGTGGTTGTTGGAGTGGTAGAAAGTTAAGTCATAACAACATTCTATATTCAAGGACTTTTGCCTGCGTCTGATGGAGACTGCCTGAAGATTGTATCCAGTTGAGTGTCAAGAGTTGATTGGACAATGTGATGAACTTGTGGGTGTGGGGCAGGGCTGTGAACTGTTAGCTGGGTGTGGAAAACCTGGAAGCTTTCAGATTCGAGTTTTCCCAGATGAGCCAACATGACATCTCTAATAAATTGGAACTTTGAGGAACCTCAGGCCTCAGAGCTTTATTTCCTTGGGGGTGTTCCTTGGGAACCCAGACACCAGGGATGTTTTGCGAGTTGACAGTAATATTGTTTGGCCAGGAAAGCTACATGAATAAGACCATGAAGTCATCAAGAGTTGAGGTCAGCTGGAAGGTTCTTCATTTGAAGTTCTCTTACCTTAATCTCTCCACTTCTGCATCGTCAACCAGAAAATCTCTTTTCTGCACTAATTTGTGGATTTTCTGGATCAGCTCATCCTCTCTTTGATTCTGCAGCTTGGTCTTGTCTTTCTCTGTTCAAGAGAGAGAGAGAGAGAGAGATGTAATTTCTTCCATGTGTGGCCATGTTGCAGCAAACTTAAACTGCTTCTATTGCATAAGGCAAGTACAGGAAGGTGACATGTCTACTAGCACTGCAAAAGCAAAACGCAGCACTTCACTCATTGCACAATCAATGAAGAGTTGTTTATTTTGCAGCGCAAGGTCAGGACAAAATGACAGAGAAAAGTGTTTTTAAGGTTTCCAGGAACTCTTCCTATTTTTTAAAAGAGAGATAGAGAGATTTTATGCTCACAAATCGCTTAATGGGACTTAGACAAAGTACAATCTGGAATTCTTCAATCGTTTTAGTTCGTTAGTTCATTAGTTTGCTTTATTGTCATTGCACCTCATACAACGAAATTAAATGCCATCCTCAGGGTACATTATAACTATAAAAATAAAACACAAACACAGATCCTTCACGTTCTATCTATACAGTTGAATTGAAACCTCCTGATATTGCATTAATATTGCACTATACAGTAGAATTCAATATGGTTACTGCCCTGGGATAGAAGCTTGTTTTTCAGCCTATTTGTCCTTGTTTTTATTACCCTGTACCGTCTGCCAGATGGTAATAGTTCAAAAAAAAAAAGGGTGCCCAGGATGAGCTGGATCTTTAAGAATGTTTTGAACTTTCTTAAGGCAGCGGGAACTATAAAGCTCTTCCAAAGAGGGGAGAGGGCAACCCATGATTCTCTGGGCAATGACGTTAAACACTCTGGAGCGTTGTCCTATCTGCCACTGTGCAATTGGCAAACCATACACGGGTGCAAGTAAGTTAAAATACTCTCTATGGTGCAGCGGTAGAAGGTCACCAGCAGGAAGATTTTTAGGATGGTTTCCACTTGTTCCTGCACACATCGGAATCTTATCCACAAAGTAATTTACCTGAGATGGCGACCAAATTCTGCAGCTCTTTCTTAAGAGTCATGATGTCTTTGCACAACTGGATGTCATCCATCCTAAGAAATGGGAGAAGAAGAGGCTGTTTTAGGGAGCCAGTAGCAACAATTTTTAGATTTCACCACTGCACTGGGAGCATGTACACCAAAGACAAATTCTTTGTGTGTCCAATCACACTTGGCCAATAAAGAATTCTATTCTATTTCATTAATTTGTTAGTTTCATTTCATTAATTCATTAGTTTCATTTCATTAATTCATTAATTTAATTTCATTAATTCATTAATTTGCTTATGCTATTTCATCTTAACATTCAAATTTGAGTCAGGAATGCCCCAACATTTTTCCCCCCAAAATAGGATAATCTATTTTATCCTGAAGTCAAACTCCTTGATCCTCGAGTTCTTAATGAATGCAGATCTGATCTTGAGGATAGTGAAGAAATGAGTCAGCCATTGCAAGGGACTTCATGAAAAATCACTTGCCCGAGAAAGAGAACAGTGTGAGAAAGAAACTCAAACTAACCCCATCTTGATTTTGCTTGGGATAAGAAGGGACACCAAAAAAGTCTTTCAAGAATTTGTTTACCTATGTGGTATGGCTGAATTACTATTATCTTTGTTGTTTTTTCTACTACCTTCTCCTATTCTATTCTATTCTATTCTATTCTATTCTATTCTATTCCATTCCATTCCATTCCATTCCATTCCATTCCATTCCATTCCATATTTTCCTCTATTCTCTATTCCATTCCATTCCATATTTTCTATTCTATTCCATTTCATTCCATTCCATATTTTACTCCTATTTGTCTGAAGTGGTGTAGGGTTTCCTGCCTAAGCAGGGGGTTAGACTAGAAGACCTCCAAGATCCCTTCCAACTCTGTTAGTCTAGTCTAGTCTAGTCTAGTCTAGTCTAGTCTAGTCTAGTCTAGTCTAGTCTAGTCTGATCATTCCTAGACTTTCTGTTATGCCTGTTTCTGCATACAGATGCAAAAAAATGCTTTAAATTAAATCAGATTCAGGTTGAATGTTTAAAAAAAAAAGTTCCTCAGATTAAAACCAGTTCACAGAACAATTACCACCCAGAGAAAACCAGGTTAGAAGCTAGTCAGATTTTTTTTTCCCCCAAGGGAGTTAAATCCATGTCCCAATTTGAATCCTGATTTCCCAGAAAAGCGACTCTTAACTTACATAAATCTCAGTTCTGATTCTCTTCTGACCAAGACTTCCCGGAGTCTTTGAATCTTTCCCATTTCCATCTCTATCTCCTCCGGCATCATGGTTGTTTCTGCCATTGAAATGATGTCGAGTTGATCTGTACAGAGGGAAGGCAGAAAGAAAAGGAGAGAATTGGTGAAGGAAGGCAAATAGACGTGTCCCAGAATAACGTTGCAGGATCCAATCTGGGTCAGTCACCAGGACCAGAGCAGGGGTGAAATCCAGCAGGTTCTGACAGGTTCTGGAGAACTGGTAGCAGAAATTTTGAATAGTTCGGAGAACCGGCAAATACCACCTCTGGCTGGTCCCAAAGTGGGGTGAGAATGGAGATATTGCACTATCCTTCCCCCAGGAGTGGGGAGGGAATGGGGATTTTGCAGTATCCTTCCCCTGGAGTGGGGTGGAAAGGGAGATTTTGCAGTATCCTTCTCCTGCAATGCCCACCAAGCCACGCCCACCAAGCCACGCCCACAGAACCGGTAGCAAAAAAAAATTGAATTCCATCACTGGACCAGATTGTTTGAGATGAGTACTCCAAGGTCCTTGACAGAGTGAAGGTCGTCTACAAGGTCCTATCCGCCCAGCTTGTATTTTGTGTTTTGATTTTTTTTTTATTTTTTTTTTTGGTCAATGTGTAAGACAGAGCATTTGTTGGTTGAGATTTGGAGTTGCCAATTGTTTGTCCATCCTGAAAGATAGTCAAGGTCCTTTTTGTAGGGTAGCAGCATTGTCCGTGGTGGTGAATAGTGTAGGAGGTTAGCACTCACCCCTTTTCCTGGAAGAGTGAAATATTTTAGGAAATATGAAAAAGGCAGAATATTATATTTCCCTGGATGAGAAATGGATAAGCATGTTTTGAAGCAGCTCCCATCTTCCTGCCCCCACTCTTTGTCAATGGGCCATTAAGGCCTGGGCCAGTCTATTCTACATAACAAAGATCTACCTCCTTCAGGCAGAGCCATAGCAGGAATTGCCAAAGATCCAACAAAGATACACAATAGCAGCAGAAACTCACCACATGTGACCTGGGAAGCACATGTGACCATCAGCCAGCAAGGCTAGCTAAGACCCCCACCCCCTGGGAGTCTGACAACCAATCAGGATACTCTTTCGGGGCCCCAAGAAATGCAGAGCCAGAGAGAGCATAAAAACCCAAGGATTTACTGTATCTGCCCCCTTTTCTGTTCAGGAACTCAAGCCATGTGATCCTGTCCACCATTAAACCATCTTTCCAAGCAGTCTCCATGTCTCCAGTGTCTTTTTCCCCACTTGGAGCAGAACCCAGAAGGATGTTTCTTCCAACAATAGTTTTAAAATTTTTGTCTAATAAGTTTCTTTAGTCGGCTCCATAGATTTTCAATTGGGTGAAGGTCTGGGCTATTCCCAGGCCATTCCTGCAGTGGAATAGGATTCTCTTGAAACTCCCCCCAAAAAGTGGTGTTATTAGCCATCAAACCTCAAAAATACACTTTTCCCAAAAGGTTTCCACAATTTTGGCCACTACTGTAAACACTTTAGAAAGAGGACTTTCTTTTTTTTTTTAATTTGATTTATATGCCGCCCTTCTCGGGAGACTCAGGGCGGCTTACAATGCGTTAAGCAATAGCCTTCATTCTTTTGTATATTTATACAAAGTCAGCTTATTGCCCCCACAAACTGGGTCCTCAATTTACCTACCTTAGAAAGGATGGAAGGCTGAGTCAACCTTGAGCCTGGCGAGATTCGAACCTGCAGTAATTGCAGGCAGCTGGTCTTAATAACAGGGTGCTTTAGACCACTGTACTACCAAGGCTCCTTTCATACAATCAGGTACCACACAAAACCAACCAACCAACCAACCAAATGATGATTTGGTCTCAGAGAGTCCGGCGCAAAAGATCAGGTCCACATCCCAATTAAACTGATTGATTGCTACTCATGTCATGCACGGGCAGTGGTGAAATCCAAATTTTTTTACTACCGGTTCTGTGGGCGTGGTTTGGTGGACGTGGCAGGGAAAGGATGCTGCAAAATCCCCATTCCCTCCCCACTCCTGGGGGAAGGATGTTGCAAAATCCCCATTCCCTCCCCACTCCTGGGGGAAGGATATTGCAAAATCTCCATTCCCACCCCACTCTGGGGCCAGCCGGAGGTGGTATTTGCCGGTTTTCTGAACTGCTCAAAATTTCCACTACCAGTTCTCCAGAACCTGTCAGAACCTGCTGGATTTCACCCCTGTGCACGGGGATGTTCTCGACAAACGGTTAGCCACCTGCTTGGAGTTAGCTAAGAGTCAATGGAATTCAAGGAAAGTTGAACTAACTTCGCTTGTGGCTATGTAGGGATTCTAGGCTACTCCCTCTTTTAACTCCACCCCAGGTTCTTCCACTCTTTCACCTACACTGAGAATAGTGTATCTGAGAATACACAGATACCACCTCTGGCTACACCTCTGAATACACAGATAATGTTACCAGTGACATTGTGGGGCTGAAGGAGACAGAGGGGAAAAATCTCCTTGAGAGCAATTGATGATGGCAGAGATCAGACTAAAGATAGGGAGTAGTAGTAGTTCTGTCTTTACACTGATATTCTCAAATGTTAAGGTTAGGGTTAAATTTTTCTTCCTGTCTCCCAAGGCCATCCTCACATACAGATGCAAAAACATAAGTGAACACAGGGGTGGCATTAGAAAGAATCAGAAAGGTCTGATGCTCTGCCGCCATCTAGTGTTCATCCCAAGCTTTGCAGGTGATATGTCGGCTCCATCATACCTTTGTCTTAACCACGAAAATCTGTTTTAGATTTGCTTTACATCACAAGCTAAGACACAATGCTGACTTTCGCTTTTTGTTTGACATAGGGTATGAATCACAGCCCAGAGCTAATTAGTTTAATGCACTTATTTCTGAAAATTTAGACATGCTGCCAAAACATACCAATTCTTGGCAGTTTACAGGGTTCATAAATAAAAATATAAATCAGTTCTCTAAATTCGGTAAGTTACAACAAATGCTAAAATTAAAATCAAGATTAAAGTAGGCATTGCAAAAATTCCGGGTGTTTATGAAGATGCTTAATGAGTTGTGTGAACCCAACCAATTGTGGATTATTCCATAGACCGCAAGTAAATAAACCATAGCTAAGTAGGGTACATAAATCAGCCGCATAAATATCCCCAGCACAAATAAAACCAGCTTCTCTGAAAAATGTTAATTATTCAATAGTTCATTTCAAAAAAAACCCTCTTGGCGCCATTTTTCTTCATATCATGAACCCAAAGAGGTGTATATTTGGGGGCATGGATCGTGTCAAGCCATAATTCATTTCATCCATAATTGATGTCCATGGGATGCTGACGCATGGGGGAAAAAATAGTTGAAAGAAAACGTGGACTTGAAAAATCATATTTTTATAGAGGCTTAAAACTTTGAATGGCACAGGGGCAGGAGAGAAGGCAAGGGAGAAACATTTGAAGAAATGATGCAGTCCAGAATGTAGACATGGAAGGGACCAAAGATAAAATCTATCTGTTGTGGCCTGTCGGCCGCCCGACTCCTCTAAATCAGAGCCGAATCAGAGGAGGAGGAGGTGTGGGAGTCAAGGTCAGCATCAAGGCAACCTGAGAGCTCCAAGGGGGAAGAGGGAATGGAGCTGTCCGAGAGAGAGAGACAGAAGCGGAGCCTGGGTCATCCATCAGCCCTCAGATGGAGAGTCAACAGCCCCTGGGTCTGGAGGTGAAGAGAAGGAACAGCTGCACCCAGCGCCTGATGCACGGATGCACAGAAGGCAGAGGAGAGGAGAGCAGTGGAAATCTATGGGCCGATCCTTGGGACAGAAGAGCCACCACTGCTAGCGAAGCCCCACCCTAGCTCTGGGGATAAAAGATGGGGAGCAGAGATGAATAGGTGTGGCAGTCAACTATTCATCTTCCAGACGGACGGACTTAAGTCATAAGTTTATTTTGTCAAGCATATATAAGATTACAGGTAAAAAGTATAAACATAATTTGAATACATGAAAAGAATAAGTAAAAAGGAATATTAGGACAGGGACGGAATGCACACTGGTGCACTTATGCACATCCCTTACAGACCTCTTAGGAATGGGGTGAGGTCAACAGTAGACAGTTTAAGATTAAAGTTTTGGGGGTTTGGGAAAGAAACCCGCAGAGTCAGGTAGAGCATTCCAGGCATTGACCACTCTGTTACTGAAGTCATATTTTCTGCAATCGAGTTTGGAGCGGTTTACCTTGAGTTTGTATCTATTATTTGCTCAGGTATTGTTGTGGTTGAAGCTGAAGTAGTCGTTGACAGGAAGGACATTGTGGCAGATACTTTTATGTACTATGCTTAGGTCAGAAGGTAGCCTGCGTTAATAGAGAAACTTTTTGCTGGGCCTGCCAGCACTGCTAATAAAGGAATCTTTTGAGCTCACTTTGGATTTGTCGTATTTGGGGAGCTGGGTCAGAAACTATCCTTGAGTTTTTACCTTAAACAAAATATCATAAAATCACTTAGCATGACTCACTTAACAACTGCCTTGCTTAGCAACGGAACTCCTGCTCCCAGTTGTGGTCAAGGACTACCTAGAAAGCATAAAGGTCTCCAAGGAATGTGTGAGCATTCAGTCAATCTGTCTTTCCAGTTGCATTGGATAATTTGGTCTTGCAATCCATAGCTGTAACTGGGCAAGGCATCCACACACACACACATACACACACACATACACACATACACACTCTGTGCTGTGATATATTATCTGGGCTGGCTCAGGAACGTGAAATGTTAAGCTGGCATCTATTAAAGGGAAGCAATAAAGCCGCTTGCTGTTTGCTCGCTTCTCCGCCTGTCATAGGACTTTTATCACTTGACTACTTAAGATGATGGGATTTGGTTCATGTGTATTTAATATATTCTGGCAACCTTATCCTGCTGAGTGGAATTCTCCTAACTGATGCAATAGCACGTGCCTGCAATTAGTCCACCACATAATGCCTTATGATCTACTTTCCATTGATCTTTCCTCTCGGCTTTCCTTGGGAAATTATTATCCCTCTTTTCATCTTGATGGGGATATCATAAACAGAAAATCTACCATCATCGGGCTGTGAAAACAGGCA